ACCCACCGACCTCCTGGGTCGTGGAAAGAGTCCAGGACCAGGACTTCCACATCGAAATCCTTGTGAATAAGGATGGTTGTGCCACCCTTAGAACCCACGGCTGGGGCCCAGAATTGCGGCCCTGGCCACCAGCCTTGAATGTCTGTAATTTTTTTATCATTGAGCTTAGTTTCCTGTAAGCATAAAACTTGAATGCCTTCGTTTCGTGCCCAGAATTTGAAACTCGAATGTTTGGAGCGGCCGGACGTATCCCCCAACCCCCTTATGTTCCAGCTGATTACCTTAATCTTGTTTGGCAGGACCATCTTCAAGGTCACTGCCGCTGAAGGTTTGGATGCGGGTTGGGGTCTCTTTGCCAGCTTGGGGCTTGAGTACTTGTAATGAAACAAAGTGTTGCAGCTGATCTAAGAAACATTTTGAGTCTAAAATTTCCTGGTACTCCGTACCGTTGATCCAGTCTGCGATATGGCTTGCGGAGATGTCGGGTCTGATATAGGCATGGGAGAAAGCCAGAGAGGACACAGCGCGCAAGGGGGAGAGCCCCATACATTTGAAGTCTTGATCGTAAGTCTGGTCCTGCGCCGTCATCCATGAAGATAGGCATACAATTGCCACGTGTAATAACACTGTTTCTTCTTCGTTCAGACAAACCACCTGGCGACCCATCTTCAAGGCTGTGAAGCGAAAAACTTCTCCCCTGCCTTTGAGAATGTCTGTGTTGATTAGGACTTGGGCATGTGCATCGGTGGGCTGGGACTGAACCTCAGTGAAAGGAATTATCTGGGCCCCATCCTTCTCGTGTATGATGAGAATGCCTGCACCCCCTGATACTTTGGAGCATATAAGTGGGACCAAAAGGTGAGTTATTTTCTTCCTTTTCTTGTCCTTGCGGGTCAGAGTAGTCATTGGCAAGGCTAAACTCAAGGTTTTTTTGGCCTGCTTTTGCGGATATGGCCTCTTCCTCTTCCCTGGGGACCTCTCAAGGTCCGGTTCTCCTGTGTCTACTACCCTCGCTCGGGGTACTGCAGTTGAGTCATTTGCTCGCAGTTTTTTAGCGGGAGCACATATATCTAGCCTGCTGCCGGCTGGGCCAGATCCAGCCGGGCCTTTCGCTGCTTGCGTGCTCTTGCACCTGAGTTTGTCTTTCTTTCTGCTTTTTGCCGGAATCTGCATTGAAGAGCAGCTAAGGGGAAGCCAGTGAGGAGGGGACCCCCTCGCCTATACCCTCTAGACAGGGGGCGGGGGGGGGGTTGTTCTCTTTGGTCATCCGAGGAGAGTTGGATGGAGAGATGGGTGAGAGTCTCTTTTCTGGACCTGGGGAGAAACCCAGGTTTGCCTGGACTGTCCTTTCCTTTACGTTGTCGAATCCTAGCGGTATGAGAGACAGCGGGGGAGGCAGAGGCCCTTCTGGTGCCTTCAGGAGAGTTGGGGTGGGGGTATCAGAAGGGGAGGAAATATCCATATCGAGTGAGCCTTGACTGCATGCCTCCACAATAACCGATCCCTCCCCTCCTGATGAATATGTGATTCCCTCCTGTCCACCTGTTTCTTTGCCCTCTGTTCCTACCCATACCTTAGTTTTCAACGAATCGTCTGATGAAATGGTAGAAATTACGACTTCCTTGCTGCTTTTCTTAACTCGCCATAAGAGTGGTTTGATCCTTGGAATCATGGGAGCCCGTCGGGACTTCTGTTTCTTCCCTTTCAGCGAGGCTGGATCTGAGATATTGGCTCCGACTTTGTCCCGTTTCCTGCGGCGTGTGAGTTGTAAATTGTTTTTGGAATCTGAGTCTTCTTCTTCCACTTCATCTTTATTGATGTCTATTTCTTTACTGACTCGGGGGCGAATCTCCTTTGCAGGTTTCCTCTTGTCTGCCACCTTAGCCAATGGGGCTAACGGGCGGCTGGGGGACTTGGATTTACCACTGTTATTCCTACCTGTCGGGACAGGGCCCTTGTCTACGGGGCTGGCTGCACCGGCTACGTCTTTGTATGATTTCTTACGTGAAGCCATACGCAAATTCACCGGGCAAGTATCATCATCTACTGAATGGAAATATTTACGGCATTTCTTGCACCAGGCCGAATCTGGGCATGCAATATTCAAATCTACCCAGCCATCATCCTGCAAATCAATGATGAGGTGTTGTTTATAACTTATTCGGGCCGTATTTTCCATGTCGAATATGACATTCTACAAGTCAGGAGCGATAGGATCTGCATAAGGTTCATGCACTTTCAATATTCTACCAAATGCATTCTGAATTGCCCCCCTTAGATGAGGGAGGATGAAGATGGGGACTTGAATGGCTTTAACCTAGAAATATCGCATTTTCTGGGCTTCGTTCCATTCAAATAGTTGATTCTCATTCATCCACGGTTTGAACCTGACTGTGTATCTTTTTCCATCAAGTTCAATCAGATCCGAGCCTTCGTGAATCATCCACGTGGCTAATTCCTTGGCAATGGCCACATATGTAACCAGATTTTTCCCATCACTACGGAATACTCCTCTCTTTGGGGCGAGATCGAATTCCTCGGCCAAAGCCCAACCTTCCTCATAGATGCGAATGAGTCAATTTTTTACCACGGGAAGGAGGGTTGTGGAGTCGTTCTCAAATTGGACAGACACATCATGCTCAGCAAGCCACTCTGCCTGAACCTCGTAAAACCTGTTGTTGACGACCACCCTGATAAAATCCCGACCCGAGTCTGCGATTTTTGGTGCAAATTCTTCCGGTAATATGCCTTTGGCATAACAGTCTTCAATTACACCACAAATCCTCAGTCTTTCTGAGCCAGACATAATATCAGGGGCAGGGGGAGAAGGGGCAGCCATGCTGGACAGTACACCTCCTGCCTCTGTGGTGGTGGCAAACTGAGGGGAGGGAAGGTGTGGCTACTCTCTTGCAATGGATTAGGTGTGGATACAGTCTCCCTGGTTCGCTGGGGAAGCCCTCTGCCAATTCGAAAATGACCTGTATCCTTTCACGTCCTCTGCACAAGCGATCAAGCTGGCCCGTTCCTCGGAATTGCAAGGGTTGAGCAAAGCAGGAAATCCGGCGGAGTCGGACCCACAATCCTACTGGCTGAAACAAAGCGTGAACGCACTCAGGATTGGTAATTAGTTCCTCGACTAGACTCACGATTTATGTGGCAATTGCCAGCAGATAGAGTTAGATAGATCGGGGAGGTAGGCACCAGCTACGCCATATCCGGAAGAAAAACCGAAACCTGCAGTGTTACCGAGGTACAAATTCCCTGGAAAGCGTAACTGATCCTGACCCCACCTAAATCCTATCTAGAACATGCATCTGGGAAAGGCACATACAATCGGTTGAGTGGAGCTCGAAAACTTGGATGGGGGACGAATTACCTCCCTTATAACAATTGAAGTCTTGGAGTCTTGAAGGCGACATGAAACAACTTGTTTGTGTCATGGATATACCACTGCACGACTATCCCTCCTGAACGGGGCCGTGTGTAGAGCGGGAACAACAATCCTCCCTAGACAACGGCTGGTATAAGATCTCTCCCTTGTCCGGTGGGTTGAGTCTCTCCTGTGCATATGCTCACCGCGACTTCACCGTGCTTGTACATGTGGCGTAACCTCAGTAACTCCCGAGGATGGAACCACGTCTTTTTGTGACTGCACTCCCTTCTGCATAGCTTTCCCCTGCCCCAATGCGGGGTCCAACGGGCATAGGCCCTGAAGCTATGGACCAGGCCAGACTTGCCTGTCCAGTGAACAGCTACATCAGCGATGGTGAGAGAGGGGTTGAACCCTAATTCACCGCGGTAACTTCGAACCCGGCGATGGTGAAGTTACCGTTCGAGCCTCAGCTTAACGGGGACCCCCGCTTTTACCCCTAATCTTTTTTTTTTTTTTTTTTTTTTTAA